TCCTGCCAGAATCGCGCCCCTAGGCAGGCCGTTTTTCCTGCCCGAATCGCGCCCCTAGGCAGGCCGTTTTTCTGCCCCGAATCGCGCCCCTAGGCTGACGGTTTTTCCTGCCCGAATCTCGCCCCTAGGCAGGCCGTTTTTCTGCCCCAAATCGCGCCCCTAGGCTGACGGTTTTTCCTGCCCGAATCTCGCCCCTAGGCAGGCCGTTTTTCCTACCAGAATCGCGCCCCTAGGCAGGCCGTTTTTCCTGCCCGAATCGCGCCCCTAGGCTGGCCGTTTTTCCTGCCCGAATCGCGCCCCTAGGCAGGCCGTTTTTTCTGCCTGAATCGTGCCCCTAGGCAGGCCATTTTTCCTACTCAAATCGCGCCCCTGCTGCTGCCGCTCCAGCCCCTGTTACTGCAGCTACAGCCCTACTGGTGCAGCTACAGCCCTTGCTGCTGCCGCTACAGCCCTTGCTGCTGCCCTACAGCCCTTGCTGCTGCCGCTACAGGCCCTGCTGCTGCCGCCCCAGCCCCTTCTACTGCAGCTACAGCCCTGCTGGTGCAGCTACAGCCCTTGCTGCTGCCTCTACAGCCCTTTCTGCTGCCGCTACAGCCCCTGCTGCTGATGCTCCAGCCCCTGTTACTGCAGCCACAGCCCTGCTGGTGCAGCCACAGCCCTTGCTGCTGCTGCTACAGCCCTTGCTGCTGCCGCTACAGCCCCTGCTGCTGCCGCTACAGCCCCTGCTGCTGCCGCCCCAGCCCCTTCTACTGCAGCTACAGCCCTGCTGCTGCAGCTACAGCCCTTGCTGCTGCTGCTACAGCCCTTGATGCTGCTGCTACAGCCCCTGCTGCTGCCGCTCCAGCCCCTGTTACTGCAGCTACAGCCCTGCTGGTGCAGCTACAGCCCTTGCTGCTGCCGCTACAGCCCTTGCTGCTGCCGCTTCAGCCCTTGCTGCTGCCACTACAACCCTTGCTGCTGCCGCCACAGCCCTTGCTGCTACCACTACAGCCCTTGCTGCTGCCGCTACAGCCCTTGCTGCTGCCGCTACAGCCCTTGCTGCTGCCTGCTTCTGCTGCATGCGCTGCTGCTGCTGCCGCTACAGCCCTTGCTGCTGCCGCTTCAGCCCTTGCTGCTGCCGCTACAACCCTTGCTGCTGCCGCCAAAGCCCTTGCTGCTACCACTACAGCCCTTGCTGCTGCCGCTACAGCCCTTGCTGCTGCCGCTACAGCCCTTGCTGCTGCCTGATTCTGCTGCATGCGCTGCTGCTGCTGCTCAGCGTGCTGCTGCCACTGCTGCATGCGCTGCTGCTGCTACCACTGCTGCTGCTGCCACTGCTGCATGCTCTGCTTCTCCTGCTAACTGTCGCTCCTTGCTGCTGCTGCTCCTTGCTGCCACTGCTCCTTGCTACTGCTGCTGCTGGTGGAGGTGCTGCTGGGAGTGCTGGGAGTGCTCCTGGTGCTGGGGTGCTGGAGGTGCGACTGGGAGTGTTGGAGGTGCTGCTGGTGCTGGAGGTGCTGGACCTACTACTGACCGTCACTGCCTGTCATGGCAACTATCACGGCAGTTGCAGCAGCTAGGGGTGGACAGCGGCGGTCACTGCCTCTCCCGGATGACCCCACCCCTCAGCAGCTTCGCGAGTGGGTTCTTCAGCGAGCTCATCCAGGCGGTGGAGGCTTTGGTTTTCTATGTACTGCGCAGAGACGGCAGCAGAGTCAGCAAGCGACCTTCTCCCCGCAGGTGCTTCGTGAGTTGTTTCCTCAGCGATGTGTCATTGGTTCTGTCGAGGCTACTGCACTAGGTGCTAGTGAGTCTGCTGCCGCACTAGGTGCTAGTGAGTCTGCTGCAGCTTTAGGTGCTCGTGCGTCTCCCGCCACAGGTCCTTCCTCAGCTGAGGCCTTGCACACTTTCACACTTGACTCAGGCACGTCACGTTGCTTCTTTCGTGACTGCACCTCACTCACACCACTTGCTGCACCGGTACCGGTCTCACTGGCTGACCCCACTGGGGGCCCAGTAGTCACGCGAGCATCCACTGTCCTCCCGTGTCCAGCAGTCCCCTCCGGTTCTTTGTCAGGTCTCCACCTCTTCACGTTCTCGACGAAATTGGTGAGCAATGCTGCCATTCAGGATGTCTGGGTTGATACCTTTATTCCTAGAGGGCAGCGTGTGGCGATCTGTACGTGCTCCCGGACTGGCCGTCCCCTGGCTACGTTCACTCGACGCCCTGGGACTAGTCTATACACACTGACCACTGCGTCTGCACAGGTGGCTGAGACAGGTCAGGTGGCTGCGTCGAGTCAGGTGTCTGCGTCTGGTCAGCTTGCAGCCTCTTGCTCGTGTCGGGTACTCTCCCACCAGACTCTCCTCTGGCACCACCGCCTCGGTCACCCCTCCCTACCACGTCTCCGTGGTATGCACTCCCGTTTCCTTGTCTCTAGCCTTCCCAGGTCCCTGCCCTCCCTCCCGCGCTCGCCTGCCCCGCCGTGCCTTCCCTGCGTCGAGGGGCGGCAGCGCGCCG